TTTTTTTTTTTTTTTTTTTTTTTATTTTTTGGAGGGGGGGGGCTTTGTATTACTCTACTTGTCCTTGCTAGTATAATGGTTGCGCACTTGATATCTCACTACTGGAACGCCAACTTTTCTCATGCGTATACTATGACTATCAATTGCAGAAGCTACGCCAAAGGCGATAATGCGGACAATGGGTGTCAAGGGACTGACCCTCTTCCACCTAAAGAGTCACCTTCAGGTTTATTAGAATGCATTAAATTTTCTTATTGCTCACAAGCCCACCTCACATCCTTCATTGATTTCACAGATGTTAGAAGAGGTGGGGTGGGGGAGCAAAACCTTATATGTTTTTTGTTGAGCTAAAATGAAGTATGCTTTGCTCAATTTTTAAATATGATGCTGTCTTTGTTCATTGCAGAAATACAGACTAGGTAAGCTATCTCAGAAAGATCTCGGTGAGGCTTCAAAAGATGGTAGGTATAGTTGACTCCCATTTTCCTATAACTGGAAACATGGTTGCGCTGGTAGTTTCACAACTCTCTAGGCATATATGTGCTAATTAAGCTTCAAAATTTGCCTAGTGGCTAAGATATAAATCTTTCCTTCGCTAACTTGGCTGCCTTAGGGTTGATATAACTGCTCCCTACCCCGTCCCCCTTCACATGGAAGGAATATCTTAGGGACAATGGTATCCCATTTGGAATGTATACTCCAGCAACTCCATTAACCCCCTAACTTCTTAAATAAGCCAAAATAGTTCCTTTATAAAAAAAAAAAAAGGCAAAAATTAAAAATGGAAAAATGCAGGAAAAATAGCATAAACTTGGGCTGTGATGTGTGAAGCTTACAGAATAGCCAAGAAGACACCGTGATGTTTATGTGTGAGAAGAGATCAGTTCAGAAGGCTCTAGGAAGAAGCTCTTTTTGAATTTTTCTTTTCTTTTGAAACTGGATTCTTGTTCTTCATTGAAGGACTTACAGCTACATATTCATTAGAGAGCCCTTGTTCTGGTGGTACTCCTCAGCAGTTGCCGGCATCGGACTTGAATGAGTAAGGGTTCATCCTATAACTAAGACAACTATTACTACTTGTTTTTAACCTAACCACAATAAATTATATAGCGATGCTTCTGTTTAAGCTTTGCTTGAAATACACCACCTAGTTTAAGGATTGGATAATGTCTGCAGAGGTTATGAAGTCAAGGAGGCATTGAGAGCTCAGATGGAAGTGCAAAGTAAATTGCACCTGCAAGTTGAAGTAAGTTTTCTGCACTACATCGGATGAGTAAATTGCTTTTGAATGTTTCTCAAAATAAATAGGTGGAGTTGAGTTTAGAGACTTATGCTTAGAACACGTTTACCTGACAATCTTTTCTTTTTTAATAAACGTTTTCAAAAAAAGTTTTTCAGATAAACGCGTTCTTAGTCTATGGGAATTGATAGTTGATAATTGCTTGGTAAAATATGCTTGGGCTAGGGTCGAATGAATAATTTGATGGTTAAAGAGGAAGTGGTAGATGACATTATGCAATTCAATTTGCTATCTATGGACTACAGTCCAAAGATATTCTGGCTGGTGATTGTTCATATTTTTTGTTACACAGGCTGAGAAGCACTTGCAAATTCGGCAGGATGCTGAACAAAGGTATATTAGCATGCTGGAGAAGGCCTGTAAAATGCTTGCTGATCAATTCATTGGTGGTGTAGTTACTGAAAATGATCAAGAGACTTGCCAAGGATTAGGAACAAGGACACAAGTTAGCCCTCTTTGTAATCCACTTGGATTATGCCCCTCGGAATCTGCTGATCTTGTTGGAATCCATGGTCCAGAAGAAGTTTCCCCCAGAATCCATCCACAATTCACCGATTGTTCCACTGAAAGCTGCTTAACTTCGCATGAGAGTCCTGCTGGACTTCCCCTAGAAGGAACTTCACCTGGAGGAAGAAAACGAGGGCCGAATGGAGATTCAACACATGCATCAGTTGTTTGGGGTGAAGCAGATATGATATCGTCAGGTGTTCGTCTGCTTCAAGTTAATCGCTTTGGGATTACTAGCTCTAATGTTCAAAATGTCTCTTCTTAAGAGATTAGTGCTGAGTTTATCTACAGCCATTGATTCTCAAACTGCATATTGCGGTTTCTGGGAATACTGATGGGCCTTGGACTTGTCAAGTTGTAAATGCAAGCTGATGACTTTCTAACTCTAACTGCGCCCCCTGAACATTAAATCCTAAAAAAGGAAGAAAATTGAGATGCGAGTAATGCTTTATATCTTGCTTTTCAGTGTCTCAATTTACTTTGCTGTCATAATTTTCGTTTAAATGTTTAACTGCTTTGAGTTTGACTGCATGTTAGGGAATACTTCAGTTTACCAAATGAACTTTTGCTTGTGCAAAATGTTTGCATGAAGTTCAAGTTCTCTTGGGTTGGGGATATGCTTGCCTTTTCCTCCAAATACCCAATGAAGGTTGATTATATCGACCCAGTCGAGAATGGTCACATGTATTTGCGTTACAACCAAAAATTGTTCCATATCGTACACATATATATATATATCACATATATTGTGAAGACAACCAGGTGGTTGGGATATCGACGGAGAAGATTATGCATGTTTGGACATCCGTTTTGAGCTCCTCAACAGTCTCAGTTGCATCTCTTGTTTATCTCAGACCTAAAGAATCCATCTTCCTGTTGAAGAATTTTCTCTACTAATGACCATATAATTAAGCTGACTTCACAATCAAACTAAAGGCAAACATTTGAAAGAAAAGGGAAACATGAATGTGGTTTACTTGCATTGGAGTTTCCTTGAACCAATGGGCAACAAATTGAACTTTACAAGGATGAGTTATAATTAGTTACATAAATCTAAGCTATTGCGTATAAAATAGTAAATGGAATTGCTAGCCATACATACACGCAAGAGCCACTAGAGAAGAAGTTACCAACTTCCCCATTTATAGAACAGAGCTTGTGAATAGAATTGTAAAATGAACTTTACCGATCATCCTTGTCAATGGCAGAAGATGGTTAGGAGGAGCTGTATCTCCTATGGTTAACTCTCTTCATAAAGCAAAGCCGTAATCGCTGGCTAAGAGCCTCCAACTTTTCAAACTTCTCACGCTTAGATTTCTTTGTAACTTGTGGAGCTTTCTTTTTTTCATCGTCCTTTGATGAGTCCAGTGCAGTATGTTGGCTATCACAAAGAGGGGTCGCAAGCACATCGGTCGTAATCTGCAACTCAAGCAGAAACTTGCAGCTGTTTATCAAGAAGCATATACCAGTAAAGCATAAAATCTATTGGTTGAAACAGACTCAAGTCAATGGCTCTTGAACTTTATATCATGAAGCAAGTTGGTGTTTTATTTTTCATTCAGCTGAATATCATATCCAATCCCGAAGTGTCTTGGCTTCTTTCCTTTTTAGAGGGTTAATGTAACAGTCTTTCGGAGTGATATCGAATATGAATAAATAATATTTAGGGACTTGAAATTAAAAGAAAAATGCTACATGGTCAAATATCAAAATGTCAAAGGTTAGGACTTAACACAGTTAACGTTCAAATAACGTATGGTCCATAAGATTAGGATAGAGGGAAATAATAACCTTGAAGAGTATCTGAGGGTGAACACATGCATGTAGATGGGCAAAATTTAGGACAAGAAAATCACAGTTTTATAAGACTGTCTTCAATTGAGAAATGAGACTTCGTTGTGGTCAATCCACGCTAACCTTGTTGTAACATATTAGCTTAAATGAACATGTACATGAGCTTTTGATTGGTAGAATCTTCTTAGTCACCAGCAGGTTTCCAGAAATTACTTCGATGTCAATAAATGGTGGAAACATAAATATGAAATCAGGTGAGGACTTATTAAAAAGAGAAGGAAACCCAGGTGTGTAAAGCAAATCTGTGTTATTTGTGCGGGAAAGGTGATTATCCTCCCTCTCGTTCTTGCATTAACACTTCAAAAATCTGATTGTATTTAGGTGAGTTATTCTTGCTGACTAAACTTGGATCCCATGTCCAGACTGTGAACATGGGGAGCGCCTATGCATTCGTGAAAAAGGGAGAAGCACATGATGAAATTAAGATACATGTATTTAGATTAGGTACATGTTAGAAGAGTATCTATAAATACCTATGTATTATAGTCATTATATGTAAGACAAATTGAAAGAAGTACAGAAGAAAACTTTCCTCCACTTGTCTTCCAGAGAAAATGACTGATTGAAAGTGCTTTTCCTCCCCAATATTTCCAAGAAAATAACGCCACCCTCCAAGAGGGAGGTACAAACTTACATTTTATAAGAAATTGCAGGGTTGACAAATAAAATTGCAGGGCTGACAAATAAAAAATAGCTATTTCCAAGTATGGCAATGTGGATTCAAATCGAATTATCAGAGTGGGGGCAGAAGATAAATACCTGACTGCCACCGATGGCATCTACAAAATCTGTAGAAATCTCAGCATCACTTCCCAGAGATGAGCACCTTCCCCAACTCTCTCTGTTTGAGCTTGTGTAAGAGCAACAGTCCTCATCTTGGCCACTTTGCTTGTCCTGAGAATCAGAATATCTGGAATTTTGGCAATAGGGAAAAGCAACCAAAGCCAGCACCAAAGAAGAGTACAGTATTCTAAAACACTTAAAACTGCCATCAACCTGATATTCCAGCCTTCTAAAACGAAGGGCCCATTTTTTCAAGTGTCAAACAAATTTTTTCTTTTAATATTTTTTGATATCTATAGATGGATATCAACCATGAGTTTGCTAACTAACACCTGGTTTATTATTCTTCAAATATTCTCCACCAAACCAATGGATATGAAATCCTTTAAATCATTCACTTCATTGTTCTTTGGGGTGAGCATAATAAAATACTCTCTTCTCAAAGAGCCTGTCTGGTAGAAGTGCTCTAATCTTTCCATCAAGTCATCACAGAAAATATCACAACAATGATGAAATAATACCATTGTGAATCCACTATTGACGTTCTATCTCCTGTTTTCCACTGCCTCCTCCACCTCCTCTCTTTCAAAAGGTTTCTCCAATTTTACTTGGTTCTGCTAAATTGATGCTCTGAAATTCCATCTAGAGTCGGTCTTCAACTCTCCCTTTGTGTAGAGGCACTTGTAAAATTGTATTGCTCCTTTAATTTCCTGCTCCTAAGTCTAACATTATATGAGGCTAAGGATCTGTATACTGATAGAACACAAGATTTTCCACTTATTTGGTTGAAAGAGAAAACCATTTTTACTTCTCCAAATAGAAAAAAGAACCTCTCTGGGAACTAAGAGCTCTACTTATTCTTAAAGTATAAGGCACGCTAATGCTTTAATCTTTTAATCGACTAGTCAACACCTTTAAGAGTAAACTGTGCTAAAACACATACCTCTGTTTGTGGAGTGTCATGACCAATGAGTTCTTCTCCTTTATTAGTTAATGGATTCTGTAATCAGTACACATATCAATCAACTTTTAGTAAAGCAGCTTAACATCACTGCCATAGAGAAAACCTCACTGACGAAGAGATAGGGGTGGAAGAAAATCGGAACTTGATAGTTAAGGAGAACTCTTACAATTAGACAGGCGACTGGGGCAATGTTAGAAAGAAGTTCGGCAGCAGACTTTGCTGTAGAAATGCTAGGTGGCACAGATGAAGAGCTTGCTGTATCAGAAGTAACATTCCTAAGACTTGCAATTATCTCATATAAGAGATTCTAGGAACAAATCACCAAAAATATTGCATCAGATTGCATGTGTTAAAACAGCACTCAAGTAAATATGCATCGTTAACATCAGATCAACCAGACAAGAAACAACTAGTAATACACAATAGTGTGGAGAATTTATGTCAGACAAGTTAAGCCCCATGGGTATTTAATTTTTAATATTTCATAAAATAATATAGTTACAATAAATATTTTTAAATAAGTAAAATTGCATAAAAATGGAAGAAAACTATAAATAAGTGAAAAATATATATAGATGTGCTCCATTCCCATAAAAAAAACTAGTCAAAACAATTCATTATACGCTACTTATAAGTACAAGTAACTTGAGTTTCTACATGAAGAACAAAAAGGATGACTAACCTGCAATTTGAACTTTGAACTTGCTGCTATTGGGGAGAAATAATGGAGTTCTCTTTGTATTTGCAAAAAAAGAAAAATTGATTGTTTGTTGCTTTTGGGAGATAGTAGCAGACTAGTGGACAAGATAAAGAATTAGGAAAGACCATAAATTAGGGCTTCTAGAAATAAAAAAAAGGTCTTTACTTTTAAATTTAATGTTTCTGTTACTTTTTAAAACGTTTGAGTGATTACAAGTTGACTTTTAAGAATTTGGGTATTGTATTAAGGACTTATTTAACAAATTTTATTTTAATTTGAAAAAGTCCCTTGGGCTTACGCCTCACTTCAAAAACGCGCCTCCACGCCTGGGCGTAGGCCCTGAATTGCTGGGCGTACGCCTCATGAGACCTTCCCTCCACCATCGCCTCGGGGCATTTTTGGTGCGCCTCGCCCCAGGGCTCGTCCCGGGACTAGCCCCAAAAACGCCTTTTAAAACACTGATACATACATGTACATATTTACACACACACACATATCTTACACCACTTTGGATAAGGTAACAAGATGCATATTTTTTCAAATAAAGTGGCTAAGGGGTCTTTGGAGCTAGACAAGTTCTCCTCTTGGATGCTCTCATGGATTTGTGAAATCACTTGTCATTTTGCAACTTACAAGGTTAAGAAGGTAACTATGCCTTTAAGCACCCAAGGGTGTGGCCTAGTGGTCAATGAAGTGGGTGAAAACCATGAGGTCTCAGGTTCAAATCTCGGCGGAAGCAAAAAATACTAGGTGATTTCTTCTCATCTATCAAAACCTTGGTGGATAGAGTTACCTGTTACCTGTTGCTGGTAGGAGGTAGCACGTACCCCATGGAATTAGTCGAGGTGCGCGCAAGCAGGCCCGGACTCCATGGTTATTGTCACGGGGCCATTATGGGTCAATTTTTTCGCACCCAACTTGACACCGCGCGGCAGCAACCTGACACTCAAGTTACTCAGCCTTTTCCAACACTTAGCCAACTTTTCATCAAGTTTGGCTTCCCACAAGATTTGGCAGCAACATAAAGAGAACACCAACATTTACGGGAAAAACCCAACCTTTGTATTAATAACAAAATATACAAAGGACCCCTCTTTGCCATGAACACAATCCGTTCACAGCCCACTTCGTCCGGCCAAGATCATAAATAGATCTTGTCACA